ATTGAAGCAAATATCATATTTGGGTTGAGAATAGTGTTAGATTCATTGTACCATGAGTATGAATGTGTGTGTATATATATAAATGTATACACATTACATATAGAGAGAGTGACTATGAGATCTGTTTTTCTTTCTGGAAATTAAACTATGAGATCTGATGCATACAGATAGAGACTATGAGATCTGTTTTTCGTTTTAGATAAAACCAGGAGATCTGTTGCGTTTGTACCCCATATATATATATATACATATATATATATATGTATGAATGTATGCATACACAATCGACATTGATATTTAATCGAGCTACCGAGCCGAGCTCAAACCATTTTGATCATGGTCGAGCCAAGCTCAAACACCATACCATAAAGTCGAGCTGAGTTCGAACGAGCCCCGACTCGGTTCGGCTTGGCTCGATTGCAGCTTTACATAACCATAGTGTTATCTGCAAACCACTGTGGATATACCTTCTCTGACTGAGCTGGCTCTTTCTCAGAACCAGTAATATAGCCAATCTTGCCTTTGTCACCAATGAACATCTTGGCGGACTATGCCTAAATCAAATAGTTGGAGCTATCCAACTTCACTGTGGTGATTTGAAGTCCTAGATTTTCTGATGAGTTGGTGGGAAAAATGGCATCACCACCCACAGAACTTGAGACATGAGAATTAATAGTCGAGGACCCTAAATCTGCCACAATCTGTCACATGACAAATAAACAATTTCGAAAACACCACAAATTCTATTAATAAATCAAAGGGTCTCCTCAAACCATAAACAATAACAATGTCTCCTCAAACCATTCCTGAAAATTCCAAAATATAGTCTTTTCAAGGAGCGCTGCCCGCTTACATATAGCCGGACAACTTCCTTCTCAATATCTGGAACCTCTTTGTAAACTCAAAAATTTTTACCCAAGCTTCTAGGTGTTGGACACCAACTATCCTAATTTACCCAACCCTGGAAGAGTAAAAAATAAATTGTAAAACTCAAAATTACCTGTTTTATTTATTTATTTTTATTTTTTATCACAAAACAGTAACACAGAAAATCATGTGTAGGCAACACCACAAGATGTTGCAAACAGCTTAAGGTGGCTGTCGCATAAGTAGCAAGGTTGTTGGAAGGTGTGGAAATGTGCCATCTCTGATACCAAGAAGAAATATAAAAAGAAGAAAAAATGAAGGAATTGTGTAAAGGCTTGAATGAGATGAATCACTCATTCACAACTCTAGCATTTATAGATAAAAAGAGCACATGCTCGTATTACAAGAAATGAAATGAAATGAAATCTATATCAAATCACAACATATTCTATGCCATTCTTCGTGGCTATCAAATCTGCTAATGCTTTCCCTTCTTTTGATGAAAAGGTATGCTGCCAAATCACATATATCTTGCTCTGTTGGTGTGCTTTAATGATTTTTTACTGCTATAGTGGTTATAGTATTTTGGTATCAGAGTTTTCGTTGCATGATTTTGGATTTTAATAGTTAATTTTATTGCTTTAGAAAGAGGTGGTATGAGAAGTAGTGATATTAACTCAAGATACTGGTATATTGGGATGTTTTCTTAATTTTCAGACCTTTGCTGAAATATGATTTTTTGTTTCTCTAAAGAAAACAACCTAGTTAACATTTTACTAGACTCACAACATATACTAGGTGCTTGTTAGTCCACTCCTAGTATAATATGGTATTTACTTGCAGACATGACCAACCCTCATGATGGTTAGTGGTCGCATGACACAAGGACTATGAAATCTCCTTTTTTGGAGGCAAAATAACCTTCTGCTTTTTATTTATTTATTTATTTATTTTTTATTTTTTTAAATTATATATGGGTGTGGGGGTGGGGGGCAGCGGTGCTTCTTGCTTGTTACCTTTTTTAAGATTACCGATTACTTGTATCAGATGTATTCATATCAAAATGATCAGGTACACTCAATTCAAGTCTTCATCATTGCATGATTGACAAAGCCAGTAGAGGTTATCTGGTCAATGTAATTAGCCTTTTCATTTGAAAGAAGTACCATGAATGTAGTTTAGGGAAAGAAGAGCTTCGATGCACAATCAGAAAATAAATGTGATGACAGCCATTTCAAATATATTCTTTTGTCATGGTTGAAGGTTTTTGTTGAGATCCTGCAGATAGCTGTGAAGCACACCACATCACAAGCTAACTGGAAAGAGAATGTATTCACTTTCATAGTATTACTTCTCTTAAAACCTCTTGACTTTCAAACTTTTCTCCAGACCTCTCATTTTATACTTATCTCTGTTGTATTTTCATGGATTAAAAGCAAATAACATACACCATGAAATTGTTTCCTGAAAAAAAAAAAAAAAAAATGCACCATGAAATCTTATATTGAATATGTTTTATTCATTTTATACATACTAATATACAAACATTAAGACATAAGGTTACGATAATTGGAACCAAATGACATTAACTAAAAAAGAAGAGATATTTCTTGTATTCTTTTAGTTTTTATTTTTTGTGTTTTTGTCATACTATGAAAGGTTTTCCAACTGTGCTGAACAACACCTTCCTCCCTCTCCCTGATTACCAACAGAATTAGAAATACCACTTGGACAATTAGGTTCACATGGGTTTGGTCCTCATGAATCATTAAGGAACTGCTCAACAGCCTCTGTTTGATGTTCAAATAATTTTCAAGTAGCAAGCATATCTTGACATCAAATTTTGGACTATGCTGTCAGTTAGTTATTTTTGGACTATGCAGCCCTAGGACACTTCCAAATTCCTTTTCTAATGCATCCTTCAATCATTTCTGTATATTAAATGAAATATTAGTAGTTCATTTTGTTACTTCCTCTGTGCCACATACACTTGCCTCTCTTTCATTTTCTTTAGCACCTCCTTCAAGAACGCCCAGGTATTTGACACTTGGGTGCCAAACGAAAGATGGCAAGACCTACCCAAGGTTCAAATTGTTGGTGATTAAATTTATTTTAAACTACTTAAGTTTCTAGTATTTTCCTCATATTTTCTAGCACATGGGCACATGCTTTTGGTTAGTACATGCTATAGGTGGTTCGCTAATTTATGCATATTCCACGAATCATTTAAATTAATCATGAATGTATGAAATGTTGCACATACATGTACTGTGGTAGGTCCAATGGACTCTTGGTATTTGTTCTCAAGTGGAATTAAAGATTTCAGAGTAAAGTTCCTCCATTTCTCTCCCTTAAAGTGATTTAGTGTTTTCTAGCCCACTATTTTCTAACAAAGTAGTAACAGAGCAAGCAAACACAAATGAGATACTAAAAAGGGAAAATAAACTTTTATTTTTATTTTGGCTTCCTAGGGTCGGTTGACTCGGTTCATGTAATCTTAAAAGTTTCGGCTAACAAGCGTGAGAATGGGGATTCAAGTATGAGAGCAACCACTTGTACAGAGCAACGCCACAAGGCTAGGTTTGTTTCTGTTATTTCCTTATACACTCGGCATAGGCAAGAGCCGCAAGACTAGCACTAGGTGAGCCTTTTCCAACAATTCTGAGCTGACACCTCTCTCTCTCTCTCTTTCTCTCTCTCTCTCTCTCTCTCTCTGTGTATATATGTATATATGACATTGTGAATGCTCCTGCATCATTATAAATGTTAGGTTATGATTCCCAATTATGGTTACCTTAAGGAACTAAATGTGTGCTCACAAGGGCTTGGTCCTCATCAAATACTATCATCCTTCACTTATCAAAAAAAAAAAAATACTGTCATCCTTCCAAAGGGTTTCAAGGACGAAGCATAGATTGGCATCAAAATAATAAAGTGTTGTAAGTAAATTTAGCTTTGAGATGGAGCCCATGGGACACGTTCAAGTTCCTTATCTACATTCTTTCCCATATTTTCTGTATATTAACTTTAAGCAGTTCATTTTGTTACTCCCTCTGTACCACAGAATACTGGCCTTAGTTCAAATTTTTTTCCCTATTATGTCATGCTAAAACCATTGTAAAAGCTATGTTTGAAATTTGTTCTGTTATTCCCACAGTACACCTGTAAAAATGAAGATATTGTTTCCAAATTCTACCATCAAACAATGAAAAGATAATATCAGAAGACAAACCTGAATGAATGAGATGGAATGCATTGATCACATCTCCTTCATATATGTCCTTCTGAAAAAACGTCAATCTTATAGGGAAGGATGAAGTAATAACCATGAGGATGTTATTCTATGTACTTAGACTCTTGAGGTACTCATTTGATCTCATCAACACTCGCGAATATAAGAAGATGAATGTGTTAAACACTCAGTTTTCACAACAAAGAGCAACTCTTGAAAGGGACTGCTGTTGCTGGATAAGGTCTTTCCTGTGTAGTAGTACTGAAGCATTTTCAATGTATGAGATGAATGAAACGTGGACAACCAGCCTTTTTCCTCAAGAAGTACATCATAAAATATTCTAAAATGTATAATTCATTTTCTTTATTTTGGAGTACAATTTAAATACTAATGAATGAAGTTCTGTGCTGCGAACTAGGAAAAAAAAGAAGTTCTGTGCTGTGACAATATATGATGGTGAGAGGTTCTTTCTAAAACAATTTCCTTTATATTCTGTAAATACCAAGTGGAGCCTTGGAGTAACTTTCTTAATAACCTTTTCGTGCTATAGGTTCACTAAGAAGGATTTACCTCTGCTGAGTATTGTATAATTATGTGCTAGTAATTCCTTCTTCTGTGTCTTTTGAATAATTGAGTAGGCATACTATAACTAACCAGGTTTTGAATTTTAGCTGAAGTTACTAGTATAGTGTTCTTTGTCATTTTGTGTTTGCCTAAACAACTTATTGAATATTCTTCAAGCATATTGGCAATCATGCCTTCTTAGATTTCCCACATCTTTTAAGTATTTAGTTTGGACTTGACACCCCATCATCTCGGGTCTATGTGATGATTACCAACTTCTTGTCTTATACATTTCACAGCCATGAATGATTATCTCCTCCTTATTGTTGTGTTTCAGGGTCTTTGTACGAATCAGATAATTCAGCTAAATTTGAATCTTTTTTCAAGATTTCCAGAAAGACATTTAATTATATATGTTCCCTTGTGAAGGAAGAAATGATGGCTAAGCCTGCAAACTTCTTTGATATTAACGGAAAGCTTTTGTGTCTAAATGATCGAGTTGCTGTTGCTTTAAGAAGGCTGAGCTCTGGTGAGTCATTATCAGCTGTTGGAGATGCATTAGGGATAAACCAATCTACTGTTGCCCAAATAACCTGGCGGTTTGTGGAAGCCATGGAAGAAAGAGGACTCCACCATCTCTATTGGCCTTCTACAGAAGAAGAGATGAATGAGATTAAGTCCAAATTTGAGAAAATCCGGGGCCTTCCGAATTGTTGTGGTGCCATTGACACCACACACATCTTGATGTGCCTGTCCTCTCTTGACCAATCAAATAAAGTATGGTGTGACGAAGAGAAGAATCATAGTATGATCCTGCAGGCAATTGTGGACCCAGAGATGAGATTCCGGGACATTGTCACAGGCTGGCCAGGAAGTGTGACCGACTCCCTTGCGCTCAAAAGCTCAAATTTCTTTAATCATGCTGAAGTAGGGAAGAAACTAAATGGGACAAAGATTAAGCTGTCAGAAGGCATAGAATTGAGGGAATATATAGTTGGCGACAAAGGGTTTCCCCTTCTGCCATGGCTTCTCGCTCCTTACCAAGGACAAAACCTTTCCAAATCTCAGGTCAACTTTAATAAGCGGCATTTTGCAACACGAGTGGTGGCACAAAGGGCATTGTTTAAGTTGAAAAATACATGGAGGATTATTGAAGGAGTGATGTGGAAACCCGATAAGAACAAGTTACCAAGGATTATTCTTGTTTGTTGTTTGCTGCACAATATTGTCATTGATTTGGAGAATGAGGTGCCAGATGGGATGCTTTTGTCTCACCATCATGACTCAGGCTATAAACAACAAGTTTGTGATTCTACTGACAAGTCTGCCTCTACTCTAAGAGAGAAGCTTTCTCTCTACCTGTCTGGAAGATTGCCGCCTTGAAAGCATCTCTCTCCCTATATATATATATATATATATGTTATGAATGACTGACTATATTCAATTGATCTGATGACTAACTACTTTTGTGTTTGCTAGATTGGGGTGTTATAGTTGTCACAGAAGCTAATGATTACTTTGTATCGATGAAGTTTTCAATTTTAAGGCCTTATTCAAAGCAAACAGTGTATCTAGTGACATTAATTCTCATATTTCAAGTTCAGTCTTCAGTTTACATGGTACGGGACTTAAGAATCCGAATTGGTGGATCTCCAAGAACGCAAAATACATTGACCTAGATGATTTTGGTCGTTTCAGAATCTGCTTGCTTGAATGATTATTTTCTTATGGTAAGAGAGAATTTATTGGGCACTAGAGAGCTTTGTATTCTTGATATGTACTAGTTGTGGTGGAAAATATATGTTAATATTATGAATGCAAGAAGCTAAGTCTCTATGAACTTCAGAAATCTTCTGTTCACATATAAGATCACAAGCCCTGATGGTCTTAAAATGCTAATCATTACCAGGTGGTTTCAACTTTCACAAACCCTATCATGTCCAGATAGAACTACTTTCTATTATGGATTTTTTATTTTTATTTTTATTTTTTTTTAATTTATTATTATTATTATTAGTATTATTTGTGGGTGTGGCCCTGTGGGTAGATAAGGACTAACACATCCGGTAGGAGGAAATATCATTAAGGTAGACCTTTCTTGGCGTTTTTCTAATGTTTTGTGTCGGTTCATTACTACTTTTCTTGACAGGACAGGGCCGTTGTTCATTATCATTCCTGCCTTAATCTCATGTGATGGGTCGGCGACGTGAATTGAATTTTCTCGTCAATCTTTCCTATTACATTTCATTTCTACTATGTTCAACTTTTTAAAGTCATTTTTAATAACCTCATCCCATGTTATTTCAAGTCCGACTTTTTCATTTCTTACATTCTGTTACAATTAAAACTGACAAGTCTCCAGGCCATCTAAATTTATTCTCTAATTTTCTTCCCAATCGGTGTTATACCTAATTTTCTCTCAATCTCATTAATGACTTTATAGACATCTAAATCTATTCTCTAATTTTTTTCTCAATCGGTGTTATATCTAATTTTCTCTCACTCATTAATGATCATCTTTCTTAGTCACTCCCTTCATTCATCTTACCGTCCCATTTTTGTCACATGAAGGTGCCGCCCCCATACAATTAGCACTAGCACTGTAACGACTAGAGCATGCTCCTTAGCTTGTCTTACCTTTTTCTTTTTTCTCTAGATCCCCCGTATTGCTAATTAGAACATGAAGGGTGTGATCCAATTTCCCAAGTAAAGGATGAGAGAGAGAGACCTCGAGCTTAGGTACTCATAGATGCAAATTCATTGGTTTTTTTTTTTTTTTTTATTTATTTATTTATTTTAATTAATACTTTTTTAAAAAACGATTGCAGAGCTCAGTTTCGTGTCGTTTCAATTTTTTTTTCCCGTTTTTAGAAAAAAAAAACTTTTTTTTCCCCTTGTCTCAATGACACAAGAATGTCACATAATCGTACAGAGTGACTATAGTATAAATTAGTCGACTGAGAGATAAATTAATGTAATATTTTATCAGCTTCGATTATAAAGAATGATAATAGAAGGTTTTCCATGATTGATTACTTTTCTTCTAGTTATAAATAAAAAAATAAAAAAAGTTTATTTAAAATAAACACCGGAAAAATGGTTGTGAATTTCAGAAGCACAGATAATTGGACAATGACTTACTTGCCGATATTGCAAATGTCGGAAAAATAAGACACCAGTAGGATGAATGCGTCAAAAATATCAATATAATATATATTACTATATATATAAATAATATTCCTTTTGGTGTTTTATCCTATAATAATGAATAAAATTATCAATTTTGAATTTAGGATTAGATGTTTGTTATTTTTATTTGTTTAATTTTATATTATTTTTACTAATAGGCCAGTGGTCTAGTGGTGAAGATATATGTGTGTGTGAGTACTAACTAGAAAAAAAAAGAAAATTTATATTATTTTTTTAATTAATTAATAATACATTATAAATTGCATCTAAAAACATATAATTACAAAATTACTCTATGTTAAGTTATGAAATCTTTTTCAACGGATGGATTCATAAAGTTGTAGGAGGGGAAAAACAAATCTAGTATTCTCACTAAATTATTCCTACTAACTATGAGGTGATTTCGAACCTGTCTCTCACACTCGCTCTTACTCTCGTTCCCGCTATTTATAATTATTATTTTCGCTCTCAAATTGGTTCTCACTATTTATGTCAGAGCATTATCCAATAACCTAATTGATAAAGCAAACATGTGTAGCGGATTTCAAATCCTCCTCCCTCTAGTTTTGCCAAGAAATTTTAAAAAACGAAAATATTATGTTACTTAACATATGACGACACTTATAACCCTTCAGTCTAACAGGTCAATTCTTCTCATTCGAGGGTCAAATCTTAATCTTAATCTTATTTTCTTTTCGTTTGTTTGAAAAGGCCGCCGATTCCAGGGTCAAAAAACACAAACTATCGACAAACGATCATCAGTACAGTAGGGGTTGGGTTTAGGGTTTTAGTTAATGATGGGTTTAGGGGTGGAAGCTAAGAAGTTCGATGTGAAGAAGCTACTCAAGGACAAGAAATTCTGGTTTGCATCTGCCCTCGTTACTTGGGCAGCTGCTCTCCAGGTAACAACTCTCTGTCTCTGTCTCTATATATATATATATATACATACACGAGTATATCTGTATCTATGTATATGCATATATGTATATACATGGAAAATGATTGGTTCTATATCTTGGAATTGGGGTTGCAGGGTCACATGATGTGGTTACAGAGGCAAGACTCCTTCAAGCAGAAGTTTGGAACCCTAGACCAAGATAACGATCAGAATTTTGGAACCCTAGACCAAGATAACTATCAAAAGGACTCATAGAGGGTCAAACCTCACATGACTGTTCAAAAACTTGTAAGAGTTACTTGATTTTATGATGCGTTATGAACTCGATTGTTGAAATTTGAAATTAATTTTTAAAGAAGGTAAATATATGTTTGGGTTGACCCAAAGTTTTTATATTCTCAAAATTTTACACTATTGCCTTGCTTGATATTATGACGGTGATGATTAGCCTGGAAACGAATCATTTAGTTGAAATGTGATTTTTCTCTATTGGCTTGCTTACTATTATGAATGGGCTTGGAAATGTATCATTCAGTTGAAATGTGATTTTTATTTTTATTTTTATTTTTAGTTTATTTTATTATACATAAATGCGTCATTGGCTTGCTTAAATGTTTCAAATTTCAATATGTTTTGAACAGAAAATGGTAGTATATGAGACCCTTACATTGTTCCAAACTGATAAAGCCAATTACTTGAACAACTTTTTAAGGCGAGGGACGTTGCATAAATCTTCTTCCAGAGCTCCAACATTATTTATGAAGATCTAAATGTCTGCACCTCTTGCCCTCAATAAAATTTGGAGTCTTCGTTTCTGTATATATCAAATGTGGAGTTGGTGTAGGCATTTTTTTCCCCTTCCCGCTCCGAAAAGAAAGGCAGCTGTGGAGATGGGTTCTTGACCAGTTCTCTCTTGCTTGACAAGATTATCATTTAAGGGATCAAAATGAAAAATTGAAAGGATGACTATAGAATTGGAAAGAAAATCAAGAAATGGTGATTAGATGGAGTGGTTTAAAGTTCCAACAACGGTTTGTTCCTTTTAATTGGTTTTCTCACAGATATACCCCAAATTTGATGCCATAAAAGCACCTGATGCAACTGAAATAAATTAATGTCTAAAATTTTTCACGTTATATTTTCTGCAAAATGGAATAGAGAGTGTGCTTGTGAGTGTGCATATGCGTGTGTTGTGTGTTTCTATTTATGAGCCTCTGTGTGTGTGAGAGAGAGAGAGATCTTGGGGAAGAGGGGTATGTTATCCAGTATGGTGGAGAATAGGACATTGAAGAAGAGTGGAGCAGAGGACTTGTGACGGGCTGACCTTTCATCTAGTAGCTTAGGATCGCAACTGTAACTCACTGTAAGAAGTTGGTCCCACACAGAGTGAGAATGATCATTTCAGAATTGGAAAAATTATATGTTCTAGAATGTGTGGCCACAGGCCTATTTATTTGTTTTTTCGTGTGCATTACTATCCTCTTCTTTTTGCATGTGTGGGGGTGAGGGGATGTCATATTGATATATATCTAGATTTAGATGTAACTGTGGCAGTCTCAGCAGTTCTCATTTAGAGCAGCTTGGGAAGCCTGCAGTGAAAGAACCAGTGGTGAATTGGGCTGGGTTGTGTTGGAATGGAGCGAGGGCTAGGTGGTCTACTCACTGTGTCTTGGTTCTGCAGAATGTTATTTTAACTGCCTCGAATCTTCAAAGAAGAGGCATCTCTCTGGCCTCTAGATGTGTTGTGTGTCTCAAGCAAGAGGAGAGTGTGGATCATGTCTTTTGATGTTGTGAGTTCACTTGGGCTGTATAGAGCTGTCTGGAGGGCATTTGCAGATGGAATCTTCAGAAAGTGGATTCCATTCTGGATGTGGCTCAGGCTTTTTATCATCAGTACTCAGCCAATGGAATTAGACACAAGATGTTTAGGATGCTATTTTCAGGTACCTTGTATTTTATTTGGAGTGGAAGAAATGGTAGAATCCATAGCAATAATTATAGGGATCCTAATACTGTTGCCAAATGCATCTTATGGGAGGTTATGGATATCTTGGGGGTATGCCTCCAAGATATTACCTATTAGGTGGCTCTTGGTTTTTAAGGTTTAGATCTAACAAGGTCCTTGCTGTTGTTAGGGTTCTTGTGTCTGCTGTGAGGGTATGCCCTCATTTTTTGCCTTGTAATATATTGTTCCATTTATAATTTGTTTTCTTCATTTAGGGGAAAAAAAGATTTAGATGTAACCCTATAGATCTAATTTAAGATGAGAATTAGGCAATAGAGCAACTTCAGCTGGGTGGCTTCTGTGAGTTGCATGTTTATCAGTGATCTCACGTTTGATTCTCCATGCAGAAAGCTTCTATTATTTAGTGGTAAACCAGCCTGAAAACCATTAAAGCACATCAAAACCGTCCAATGATTAATTCAAATATGAAAAACTGAAAAAGTAAAACTTAAAAATTTTGCAAGGATTCTGCTTGCAGTCCTCTAATTAAATTTCTAGGGGAGTTCATAGCCCTCTTTGGGTGAATTAGGTATTAAAGCTGACAAGTCATCAAAGAGTTAATGACTTGGTATCTATATCCTGTATCATAACACCTCTATATTGGCAAGAGATGTTATAGACTGAAGCTTTATATGTCCTTGAAGTTTGGCTAGAAGCCATGTGATCTATGTGTAACTGGAATATACAATGTTCACGAACTTCTTTGCCTGTCTGTTTTTTTTTTCTTTGACAAGTAAGAGTATATAAAAAGCGTTCAAAAGGGGAACACATCCCTCAAAAGCTACAAAAGGCCAAATAGGGCCTCTAAACTTCTATGCTTATCAACTCAGTATTTGGGCACTGGCTCTGTTGACAATAATTAGAAAAGTCTTGGGTGGTTATCTTGTGTTCAATGAAGCTTTTATAACATTACTTTGGCTTTGTAACGAGTCTGCAATTGCAGATCTCATTACAAATTGACAAGATATCAATAAAATGGAAAGGCTAGTTCAAAGAGGAAACTTAAGTGGCCGCCAGCAAATCATCCTTGATACTTTCGTATGTGTAATGTTCTACTCTGAATAATTTCCCCCCTTGAATTAAGAGTCTTCTTCATCTGATTGAGAATTGGGCTAATTTTATCATCTCGTGAAGGGATTAAGATAAAAGGTCTGCTGAGATGCTGGATGTGGTGTTTCTTTGAAAACATGGAGTGCCATTTGCTTATTCTTCTATTCTTCTTTCCTCCCAATTTAATAGGTTCTGAAAATCGTATTGTCAATGAATAAAAATTGTTAAGGAAAAGCTTATAATTGGGCATATTTGGACCCCTTTTAAATTTACCTTCATCATTTTGTTTTAACTATTAAGTTACAAAAGTGAATGTCTTGATTTTCTTTCCGTGGGTTATGTGGGTTTAATCATATTCATACTTTGTGGGGCAATATGGAATCTTTTATATTTTGAGGATGCTTACATTGGGACTGGTGGGCTCTTTTGTTAGTAGGTGTGTGAAGAGGGTGTGCATTGGGATATGAAATGAAACTCTTCTAAAAGATGAAGTCCCACCGTAGAGAAAGCTATTGTCAAAAATTGTAATGATCATTTGATTCTTGGCCAAATGATTTGAAGAACTTTTGTAGCAATTTTACAAAGTAAGAAAATATAATAAATGTCTAGCACATTATGGTTACATGAAAATGACCAAAATAATTTAATCATTTTAATTGAATTTATATGTTATACTGAGTTATTGTTAATGAAAAATATAGGATCGTAACCCTAAGCTCTAATGTAGAGTTGCCAAAGCCCGTTATCTTGACCTTGAGGGGGGTGACTAGGTCTTGATTGCTTAATTAGTTGTTTTTAACTATTTTAAATTGTAATTAAAATAACAACAATTCAGAAATTAAACTAATGAGAAAGTATATAAATTAATCTGTTCATCATGTTGGGAAAACATATAAAATAAGCAAGGCAAAACATAGCAACCACATGATGAACACAGTTTTTTTACGTAGAAAAAAAAACCACGGGACCGGTCTAGACATATCATATTCACTATGAGAAAGAGATTATTAAACTAGGTTGCCAGTTTTTGAAATCCTAGGAAACCCTTAGTTACGTCCTGATATATACTGACGCCAAACTCTCCACTCCCCTATGTGAATAGATTTGCTCCTCATGCAATGTACTTTTCCACAATCACTTTGATCTTCAAGGCTAGTCATCTAGGCAATGCGTTCATTGTGTGGAAGTGGAACTCCTTTTGGTGTTGAAGTCTATGTAAGCGCAACATGATTGATGATCAACACCTCAAATTACTCACATTATGAGATGCAATGATGAATATTTCTAGCAATTCAAAACTATTGTTTTCTTCTCTATATTTTTTTAGAACATGTGAGGTCATTATTATATAGAGTTTATAATTCTATAGGGACTAGGTTCAAAAAAGATCCAGTTCAATATGGAAACTGAATTTCTCATAGTTCGATTAATTGAGCCAAGTCTCAATCGATCGTCACAAGACCAGTGGCCTTCGATTGATCTGTCAATCGATCAAAGTGCCCTATTCTTCTCCCATTAGGATTTTAATTGTAGGCAGTTTTCAAAAACAAGTTTATGCAATTCAAAATGGATTTTTATGAATCATGTAAAATATGAGACCCTAATTGATGAATGAATGATCCTTACTGGTGAATACATATACCTTTTTGCCCTTGAATATATCTTTGTCTTTTGAATATATCCTTGGAGAGGAGGTAACCAATTCTAAATAACTTTGAAATTTTTAGCTAAAAGTTAAATAAAATTACTGACTCTAGCTTTTATAATGAAATTAACCAAAATAAATTCCATTGACTAAACAGTTTATATTCTTGTATTTTACTTGGAAGCCGTATGCCCTAGGGTGTTCACAGTTTTAAGTACTCATTTATTCTCTTTCAAGTTTTTTTTTTTTTTTCCTTAAAAGTAATACTGTGGAATTAGTGGTACAAGTAGTGTGTAAGGTCCACCTCACAAGTTGTTGAGTAACAGTTTAGTTTTATACTTATAAATGAGATCGCTATGGAATCATTTTCCTTACTGGCAAGCTATTTGTATCTCATTAAGAGTTTTGAATGTTTAATGTAGGAAATCAGAACAAAAAATGTTAGAACGACCTTAGTGATGAGGATTGTTTTATTTTGCGAGCAATAAGAGATAAACTGTAATCACTTGTTATTAAAAAAATATATATATACTAACTCACTTGTCATTTCCTTTGTCTCTGTGCCCCTTTGAAAGTTTGTGAGCCCTTCTTCTCCCTCCAAATCCTTCCATTTCCCTCTAATTTTTTATTTTTTATTATTTTTTAATAATAAAGACAAAATAAGTTTTTCCTCAATTTCCTTTCTTTTCTTCTCCA